TCTGACTAGCTTTGACTTCACTATATAGACCAGGCTTGCCTCAAACTCACAAAGATCCGCCTGCCTGTGCCTCCCAAGTACTGAGATTAAAGACATGCACTACTGTGGTGGTGGCCCACGCCTCTAATCCCAGCACTCAGGAGGCAGAGGCAGGTAGATCTCTGTGAGTTCAAGGCCAGCCTGGTCTACAAAGTGAGTTCCAGGACAGCCAGAGATACACAGAGAAGCCCTGTCTTGCAAGAAAGAGGGCGGGGGGTGGGGTGGGGTGGGATGGGGAGGGGGAAGGGGAGGGTGAGGGTGATGAGCACTACCATACCTGGCCTGGAGGACAACTTCAGGTCATCTGGCAAATGCTCTTACGTGCTGACCCATCTCTCTAGCCCAGTTTGGGGTTATTTTAGAATTCAGAGGTCTTGGATATTCTGCTTGTAACTAAGCCATTGTTGGCAATGAGAAGACAAAGGTTCTCAGTTGTCACCTGCAGTGTGGCAGGCTCTGCATTTATGTTGTTTTTTTCTAAATCACATTACTGATTGAGTTAGAGTATGAGCGTGCATGTATCTGCCTCTGTGTGTGTGTGTGTGTGTGTGTGTGTACAAGTGCCATGGAGTGCACTTGGAGACCAGAGGAAAACAAGCTAGAGTCAGTTCTCTCTACATACCATGTGGGTCCCAGGAATAGAACTCAGGTCAATGACAGTCTTGATGGCAGATGCCATTACCTACTGAACCATCCAGCTGGCCTGGTCTCTGTGTTTTATTCCAGTTGGACTCACTTCTTTATTGCTTCAGAGAATGTACAGTCAATAAACCCAACAGTTTTCCTGATTCATATCTGCGTACAGAAGCTCATTCCACATGCACTACATCTGAAGACCACCTTTGTCAAAATCCTCCTGCACACAGGATCATCACTCCCTACCCCGCAGTGGGCACACTGCACAGTAGACTAACAGATAGTGACAGGGCAGTGAAGTAGGTGTTAGAAACACTGGCGGAATTTGTGTCTAGAAAGGTCTTTGTAGCTCTGTAGAAGACAGTGGGTAGAGGCAACTTCTGCTCAAGTGTGCTGTAAACCACTTCAGAGTTCTGCAGCCCAGGCCGAGCGGTCATGCTCCACTGACTTCTCTCACCAAGTTACCATTGCCAAAGTCTGCAGCAGATAGGCAATGCAAAGAAAACATTTAAGAGCTTTAGGCCTTATCTCAGCTTTACAAGGAAGGAAAGAACAAATCCAGGGATTGTTACATCAGGGACCAATTTGTACAGAGGAACGTAGCTTTGGAGTGTGCCAACTTTCAGAAGAACAAAACTCCAGTCTTTCAGAAAAACCCCAGCAATTGAAAGAATGAAAGAATTTTCATAGTGAAATTTGAATACTCAGGGGTTTATGCTAGACAGGAATTCAGTGACAGTGTCTGTGACATCATCATGATATCAAGATGGCGTGTAAAGTCATCCAGTGTATGACCTGGTCTAGGCTAGAGTTTGTTCCTTGGTGAGAGGGAGAAACCTCCCACTCAAGACATGCCTGTGCACTGAAATTCCCGTCTACACAAGGAAAACTGATGTACGCAAGACAGTAAGCATGGCCAGGGTCCTCCATGAAACAAAGAAAGCATTAGTAATGATCTGAAGACAACAAAAATTGGGAAGTAAAACCACAAAATTAAACAAAAGCAAGTGTATTTTTAAAGTGGGGACTCTTAGACTGTTTCTAGGCACAGCCTGGTTTTGAGAATTTTCTTCTCCTGTGTTTGTGTGTGTGCATTTGTGTGTGTGTGCATTTGTGTGTGTGTGAATATGGGCATGTGTGTGCAACAGAGTGCGTGTGGAAGTCAGAAGACGGCCTTGGGTGTTGGTCCTCACTTCCCACCTTGTTTGAGACACAGTCTCTTGTTTGGTTGTCTACGGCACAGTTGGGCTGTGTAGCCAACAATATTTTGGCCATGTCTCCGAACACCTATACTCCGCCGCATGCGGAGGGGGGGGGGGCGGCGGGCGCCCCTAGGAGCACTGGGATGCCAGAGGCGTGGCTACAACTCTAATGTACAAATGAGAGTAGAGTTTCTCTATTCCCCATTGGGGATATGTAAGCAGTACTGAAATTCCTAAGAAACCATAACATTGTTTTACAGAAAGGCTACCATGCATTTTCTCAACAATGTGTGAGGGCCCCAGCCACAGTTTCTTCAAGTCTTCACCAGAAACTCCCTCCCTCCCTCCCTCTCTATCTCTCTCTCCTCTCTCTTTCTCATTTTCCTTCCTTCCTCATAGACAGTCTAATAGATATGAAGTGGTGCTCCATTTTGATTTGCATTTCCTCAAAGATTAGTGATATATTTTTATTTTTCATTTTTTTGAGACAGGGTTTTTCTATGTAACAGTCCTGGCTGTCCTGGAACTCACTCTGTAGCCCAGGCTGCCCTCAAACTCACAGAATACGCCTGCCTCTGTCTCCCGAGTGCTGGGATTAAAGGCGTGAGCCACCACCACCTGGCTGATTAGTGATATTTTTAATGTTGATCTTTCCATTTTATTTTATTAAAACTGGTTTGCGCCGGGCTGTGCACTTTTAATCGCTGCACTTGGGAGGCAGAAGCAGACAGATCTCTGTGAGTTTGAGGCCAGCCTCGTCTACAGAGTGAGTTCCAGGACAGCCAGAGCTACACAGAAAAACCCTGTCTTGAAAAACAAAAATAGGGCTGGAGAGATGGCTCAGCAGTTAGAGCACTGGCTGCTCTTCCAGAGGACCTAGGTTCAACTCCCAGTACCCACATGGTAGCTCACAACTGTCTATAACTCCAGTTCCAGGGGATTTGACACCTTCACAGACATATATTTCACAGACATACATGCAAACAAAACACCAATGTACATAAAATAAAAATTAAAAAAAAATTTAAAAACAGAAAAAACAAAAAAATCTTTATTACAAAGAACCTACAAGTAAAAGATAATTGTGCAGTGAAATTAACCAGAGCCAAAGTCTGCCCATTCAGTGAATGACATACAGTGAGAGCAGCCATTCTGAAGCTGAAGAGCTTCACATTGCATTGTATGACCCGAATTCATCCCTGGAATTCACATGGTGGGAAGAACTGACTCCCACAAGTTATCCTCTGACCTCCACATATATGCCTTGCCTCTCACATCTCCTGCCATCCCAAATCAATGAATAAGTAAATAAATAATAAAACATTTACTTTAAGCATATTGTATCACTAGAGACTCATAAGTGAAATATGATGGGCCTGCGTTGCATCGGAGATAGAATCACAAGACGCCTGTTGCATGTGAGAATGTTGCATCTAAGATAGTATTTAAAACTACATGGAAGGCCTAGAGAGATGCTCAGTGGTTAAGAGCATGTACTTGCAGAGGGCCCAAGTTTAATCCCTAGCATTTACATTAGGTGACTCACACCTGTCTGTAACAGCAGCTCCAAAAGGATTGAAAACTTTTGGCCTTTGTGGGCACCTGCATTCTTATGTACACACACACACACACACACTTAAAATTAAAAAAAAACTGTACTAAGGATGTGATTTCATCATCCTTAGTTCCTTTGCAGTTTAGATCATGACCAACTTTCTTCCCTGAGTATAAAACATGCTTTGGGACTTTGGGAAGCTATTCTTTGCCTGATAGCATCATACATTTAGGATACAACTTTATCATTGTAGACTCCATGTTCTGGAAATGCAGTCTGCCAGCTCTCCTGGCTCATTTGCTGTAGATCTAATTTTCTTCTGTAAGGTGACAGTGGCATTGCTGTGAACTTCATGGGTAGGTTAACCCTTTCATAACTTTAAAGGCCTCTCTTCTGTACCACGTCTTGCTGGATGCTCTCTGCTGACTTGTGGTGTGTTAAAAGTTGATTTCTGTGGTAGTTTTCCATGAGAAGAGTATTTAATCTGGTTTTTCATCACAGCGCTGTTAATATTAGAAAGGCTGATTTTATCCTAAATGATAACATATTCTGTTAAAGACGGTAGACAGTCCCCCTGAGGGGAGCCTGTCTGTGAGAAGGGAAGTGGACTAGATGGCTCTTGAAATGTTTTCTTGTTCAGTTCAGTGATCCATAGCCTCCTTTGAGATGGCCATCGGATGAAAACTGGAGTTTGGAATTACTAATGTCCCCTTACTGCTTGCCACCTTTGGGTCAGGGTCTCTGGCCACAAAACTGAACGTGTGGGACACTCGTCATTTTCCTGTTAGGGAATTTAGGAGTTCCTGGAGTCTGCAGGCTGCCCTTGCTGGTGGTGATTACTGGATAATTGCCTATTCTCCTATGCAATTTCCATTTTTAGAATACACTGGGCTCTACAGCCTCTCTTTCTTTGGCAGGAAAACCCAAAAGCAACAGAGTACATTTTTCCTCCTGTCCCTGGCCCAGTTTAAACAATGACTCACACGGGCCCTGGGGCTTTGCTTCACATTCTCATCGAGGGGCCACTTCTTCCTTGTTCTAGTTGTGTCTAGTGTTCCTCTGGAACCTTTCTCTCCTTTGTCACATGGGATGTGTCTGTGGTTCTTGTTGGGGTGGACACAGTACAGTACTACCCCTAAAACAGACAGATAATCCAGGTCTGTCTTCAGCCATGTCCTCCTTGTAGCAGCCAGGACAGGTTGGGCTCATACGGAAGGATGCCTTAGGGAAGCAAGGCCTGCTGAAGGCCTTTGCAATGCGGGGGGAGTGAAGGAGAAGTGTTCCTCCAGAAGAAACAAGTGGCCCTTTCCTCCTGGTAAGGACAAGGATGCTCTAGTAACCTTAAAACTTCCTGGGAGGCACACGGAAGAGGTGGACGTGACCTTCCAGAGGGGCAGAGTTGTAGGAGGTTTCTTTAGAGAAGGACTTGATCAGTAGTTGAGCATTTTGCTAGTGGAAAACATAGCCCCCTCCCCTGTTCATCAGTGGTTCTACCTGGTGTTACACTTTTCATTCTGATTCCAGCTTTCTGAAGTTCATCTAATGATGAATTCTTCATTTTTCTCTTTCCAGTTTTAACAGTGTATGCCAAGGAACCCACATTCTCTTTCGGGAATTCAGCTTTATCCAAGCCACACCTCACAATAGAGCATCATTTCTACGGGCCTTCTGGAGATGCTTCCGAACTGTAGGCAAAAACGGTGGTAAGTCTTCTTAACTCTATCTCCCCCATTTCCACCCTCCCCTTTTCTACCATTTCCAAACATTTTCCCTTTTGAAAAATAAGATTTATGTATTGGGTATGTGCTTATGTGTGTGTGCAGGTTGCCAAAGCGACCGATTTAATGCCTTTGGAATGCATATCTGGAGGTAACAGTACGTTTGGAGGTCGGAAGATAACTCTGAGGAGTCGGTTCTCTCCTTCTACCTTGTGGAACGGGGATTGAACTCAGGTCATCAGGCCTGGTAGCAAGTGCCTTTTTACCTTCTCATCCATCTTGTCAGCCCACATATGTCTTGATTATGGTCCTATAAATATGGTTTAACTGCAGGCTTTGGAATACTTTATTTTGAGGAGATGACTATGCGGTGTCAGAAATTTTATTAGCCATCATCACAATGGTGCCCATTAAGAACCAAGTATAGTTCTGAACACATGAGGTGTAATAACTTCCTTAACCTTCACAGTAGCCCTCTCTACTCTGCATCTTCCAAATTATGAAACAGAACCAGAGAGCTAAGTAATGTGGAAGATTTGCATAGTAAATGACAGGCCAAGATTAATACCCTTGCAGCCTGACTCCAAAGCTCTTGCTTTGGGCAATATTAGATGCTGTGTAATAAATAAAAAGAAGAAAGTAAATACAGAGAGACTGCATTTTGCAGCATTTCACTTACTGCATTTTACAGCATTGTGTTCTTTACAGTTTCAAGCTCTGTGGCAGGTTCCTATCATGCAGGGATATAGGCACCATTTCTGCAATAGTGTGGTGTTCTCTCTCTCTCTCTCTCTCTCTCTCTGTCTCTGGCAATTCCCTCAGTATGTCTAACTCTTTCATCATCACTCCATATTTTGAAGTGGTTTTGTTCAGTGATCTTTGATCTCACTGTGGTTTTGTTTGGGGGCCATGACTGATGCCTATGTAAGACACTGGACTTCATACTTTAAGTGTTGTACATATTCTGAATGTTCAGTGAGCCATATCCCATCTCTCTCCCTCTCCTTGGGCCCCTCTGTTCTCCAAAACAGAACATTGAGATCAGGCAATTACTAACCCTATAGTGGCCTCTAAATGCAAGGGAAAAAAATTGAGTTATATCATTTGAAATCAGAACCTAGAAATGCTTAATTTTAGGGAGGAAGGCATGTCAACACCCGAGAGAAGCCAAAAAAACAAGGCGTCTTCTACCAACCAGCCAATTGTGAGTGTAAAGGAAACACCTTGAAGAAAATGTTTTTGGGATGCTACTCAAATGATGGGGAGAAAAACTGTTGAGCTGGACATGGCAGCTCACACTTGTAATCCCAGTCCTTAGGAGGTTGATGTAGAAGGATTGTGAGTTCAGGGATAGCCTATGCTATCAAAACACACGTGGGGGAAAGGAGGGGGAGAGGAAGCCGAGAATTAACTCAGTGGCTAAGAGCACTTGTTACTCTTGCAGAAGACCCAAGTTCAGTGCCAAGCACCCACACGGTGGCTCACCATGTTAGAGTAAGTGGGTGTTTTCCTTGAGTTTATAGGTTCCCACCTGCTCTTCTGAGCAGTTCTGTGCTTCTTTATGTATGGCCATTTAAAAAAGTGATCCAGTATCTTATTAGATCATTTCAACTGTCCTAACCAACAGATAATATGGGTATTATTTTGCCCACTTTGTAACTGATGAAATTGTGTCACTTGGAGGAGGGTTGCATAGGTGGCCCTCTGTCAAGCTGCAGTGGACCTGGATTCATCCACTTGATTGTGAATTCACAAGTGAATTCACAGTTCACTTGATGTGCTCACACAGCGCTTTTCCACTACTTCAGCTTTGATTGCTGTCGTTGACATGTAACCCCTAGAGATTGCTCAGATCTGTTCTCCTGTCATGTAAGAAGTATCTAGTATACTCGTAATAGCGTCCTTCCCTTTACAGAATGAAAGATGGACTCAACCTTAAGTGAACTAGCCCTCTGGTCTCTATAAGTGTCCACACTCTGTGTGTAAGGGAAGCCTGTACTCCAGCGGACCCTGTCTTTGTCAAGCCTTTCTTGGTCACTGAAGATCTGTTATGCTGAAGAACCTTGGATTGGCTTTGGTGATAGGGCATATGGAGATAACTATGGAAAACAGTCCAAATACCCTATTTTTTCCTGATTTAGAAGTAGGGCCTCTTCAGGAATTTATTTACTTTCGCAAGGGATTCATATAGCATTTGAACTCTAAGCAGATGTGGATTTCTTTATCTTTTTAATCGCAGCTGCCAGTGATGCATCCAGCTGCTGAGGAAAGCACCTCCCAAATTCTCTCTGATCCTCTCAGGCCATAAACAAGACCTAAATTTCATGCTGGACACTCACTTCTAGGCATTTCAGTTATGCAGCTTCCTATTTCTTGAAGACCAACTGCAAAGTTTGTGTCTAGATGAGCCTAAAATCTTTGCTTAAACACTTTTAATTCTGTCTCAGCTCCTTCCAGGAAACTTTGGAACACCTTCCAGAGTGTGTCAGTTCCTGGTTTTAATCCGGAATGAGGGAAAGCTCTTGGAGGCAGAGCTCGGAAGGAAAAGATTTATTAACCCCTACCCCAGTTGGATGCTGGCCCCGATGCAGCCAAGCTGCACTATGCTGTTCTTCTGCAGATAATTTCCTTAAAGCGTCATGTTCATATTTTAACATTAGCAGGAAGAGGCTAACCTTCTGGGAGGTAGTGAAGGAGGCTGGAGTTCAACTCAGCATTTCTAAAACGAAGCCACCTGTAGAAACTTAGGGAGTTGACCCCTCCAGCAAGAAACATTTTCTTCCAGTTTTTAGCGAGTACAGAGATTCAATGTCATTTCTGCACGACTGAGTTCTGAATGATGCTAATTTTCCTGTGTCTGAGTTTCAGATAATCTCATGAACACTACAGTAAGCCTCTTGCTATCTGGGCAACTTTAGACTTTTGGAAGCAGAAAGATCTATTCAAATGTAAAAGACCTTTAAAATTCATCTCCTTGCTTTGGTATTTCTTTCAGTGTGGAGAGATTAATCTGAATTTTCTGAGCCTGGAAAAGACTGAAATTCGTTTGAAGTTAATCTTTGCTTCTGTTTGGGAGTATCAGCCCCAAAGAGCTTTTTGTTCAGTTTCTTTCAATAAGAGTGTTGCTAAGAGCTTTGTTCTTTACCAGCAGAAATACATATTTGACATATTTTCAGTTGATAAAATAACGGTAGGTACATCTACTGTGAAGAAGTATCTATCAAGAGAATTGTCATCATGACACAATTAATACCTGAAACAACTATTGTCATACCCTGTTTACCAGGCAGTGGTGACTATGAGACCCAAGAAACAGTTGACCAGGCTGACTTGAACTCATAGAAATCCTTAAAGGCCTGCACCATCACCGACTGGCATTTCCTTTCCTCTTCTTTATTTCTCTTTTAATTAATTAATTAATTAATTAATTAGAGACAGAGTGATTGATAGTAGTATAGCTAGAGTTTTCCTGCCTGGCCCACAGTCAGGACAAATCTTTGTCACCCGCCAGTCCCACAGCCACTCAGACCCAACCAAGCAAACACAGAGACTTATATTGCTTACAAACTGTATGGTCGTGGCAGGCTTCTTGCTAACTGTTATTATATCTTAAATTAATCCATTTCCATAAATCTATACCTTGCCACATAGCCGTGGCTTGTCGGCATCTTCACATGCTGCTTGTCATGGTGGCGGCTGGCAGTGACTCCTTCCGCCTTCCTGTTCTTTCTTTTCTCCTCTCTGTTAGTCCCGCCTATACTTCCTGCCTAGCCACGGGCCAGTCAGTGTTTTATTTATACAGAACGATATCCACAGCATAGTAGCCTTTGTTGTTTGTTGAGATGAGGTCTCAAGTACCCAAGGCTGGCTTCAAAGTTTCTATGTAGCCAAACATGACCATGAACTCCATCCAATCCTCCTGCCTCCACCTCCCAAGTGCTGGGATTACAGAGTTGGTAACAGTGTAAGGAGAGAGATAGGCAAAGAGCATGACAGTGTTCTGGAGTTACTTAGGGAGGCTGAGGTGGCCAGACTTTGTAGACTAGAATAACATTGAGAAAGGTTGTTCAGGGATATGTGATTCTCTAGCTACAAACTTTGTACATTTATGAGTTTAAAGAACTACCAGGAAACAGCAGGCCAGACATTCCAGTCAGATGGAAAGACCTCAAAATATGCCTGGTGTTGACTGTGTAAGAATCTCAGCAGCTTAAAAGCAGAGTATTAAGGGGTGGGGTGTAGCTCAGTGGTCTAGTACTTGCCTGGCCTGCACAAGGCCCTGGGTTCAATTCCAGCTCTGAAAACCTAAAACCAGCAAAGCATTAATCTGATTTATAAGTAACTTAACTGTATCCTTAGCTTGTAATGGTTGGACTTGGTGATCTTTTGACTTTACCATGCTGTGAAAGTGGTATGCTATCAGTAGAAGGTATTTTGAGGGGCTGCTTGAGAGGCAGCTCAGTGGTTAAGAGCACAGCAAGTGTTACTCTAGAAGAGGATCTGAGTTCAGTTCTCAGCACCCATGTTGGGCAGCTCACAGCTGCCTGTAACTCCAGCTCCATCGCAATCCAAAGCTTCTGGCCCCCAAAGGCACCTTGCCCTATGTGCACATAGCCCTACCACACACATATGTACACATTAAAATAAAAAGGTATCTTTAAAAAAATGGTGGAGACTAGTGTTAACCCACCTTTAATCTCTTTCTTCAAGTTAGGGTCACCATTCAACCTGGGTTTTGTTGGCTGTTTTTTGAGAAAGGTCTCTTATAGGTCATCTGGCCTTGAACTCGGTAGGTAGCTGAGGATGACCTTGACTTTATGATCCTTCAGCCACTGGCTCCTGAGTGATGGGATCCCAGGCATGCAACACCATGCATGTTTTTAAGCAGTGCTGAGGATCAAACCTACGGTCTTATGCCTGCTAGGCAAGTACTCTGCCAACTTGAGCTACATCCTCAGCCCTGGAAACCCTGAGGATTAGACTTG